CGCGAAGTTACCTTTTGATACAGCCTAATGTTTGACATTAAACATATCGGCTCAACTGATTTGCAGATGTGATTTCATCTGACAATGAGCTATGGAGAGAATGAAGAGTGATGATGATGATAGACATTTAAAAGCAATTTTTAACCTACACTAAGGTGTTTATCATTTGCCAAGAAACACAACAGAAAATGTTTCAAGTATGACAAAAAAATCCATCTGCTGTCCACGCACTTTCCCACAATTTCCCTATGAGATTTTCATTCAATAACTTTAATTCACCTTTGGCTAAGCCACACCCTAGAATGTAGATTGACCAATCACAGCCCAGCCAAGAAGGAGCTCCCACAGAGGTCCGACACTTTTTCACAGCGCTCCATTGACTTTCAACACAGGTGTCTCATATTTTTGGTCTCGGCAGGCTATTACCGTCAAAGTTTTATCCAAAATATGGTTAAACGTTGTGCCTCGGGCATTTGCAACACAGATACGCGTTTCCCAGAGAGGTTGGAGGGGGGTGTCCGTTTTTTCCCTTCCCAAAACTGAAGTAAAATCCTGATAGTAACAAGTGTCGTGTTTGGATTAAACTCTATGGATGTCCTCAGTCAGCTAAACTCCGCAAAGATCAACAAGCACATCTTTTTTTTTACTTCGAACCTTACTGTGAGTTTGAAGTTAGACCGTTTTATAATGTTTTAGGTTATGATTTCGGTTCTCATACCAGTTGTTAATATGCTAGCACACGCTGCTAATAAATACAACGTTATACAGTACTCGTGTAGTCCGTTTACTTTGTAATAACGATTATAGAAGTGAATAGAGACCTACCCAGCTTTGCATGAACAGTGTTGCTCCCTGATATTGTTAGTGATATTGTTCATTTTGTTGACAGTGACCAGTAACGTTATGTTTTTGCCTCTATTTGGATGCCTTGTTGTTTCTTGCGTTTCACCTGTATGTCTTGAATATAGCCTTCAAACGCATATTGCAGCCGTATTTGCCTACTTCTATCGGACACTATCGGACACTTTATTTGCTGCTTTATAAAAATTTGATAACATTTCAGCAGGAAGAGCTGTTACAGCATAAGCCATGCAGAGCGCTGATGAAGTTTGACGGATGTAGCAACAGTAACTAAGGGGGGGCGGGGCTTAGCCAAAGGTGAATTGTCTTTGTGAGTTCCTGAACATTATTGCTTTATATACCTATCAATTCACGTTTGCCCCCTACATAAAGGCTCAGAGAGTTTGTCTTCTATCATCTGATATGTGACAGAGCCCAGCAAGAACCTATCTGATTTGACAAAAAAAGGTGACATGACATTTCCTAGTTCAATCCATTAATCTCTGTCAAAGTACTGTAGAGTGCATCACCTCTAATACCCATTTTCTAAGTGACTGGAACAGCTCTGAGTTATTTGTAATTCAAGCTGTGTATAATTGTATGGATGCAGATAAACAACTACATTCCAAATTTTAAAATGTCCTTGAAATATAATTGCGTTCAAACATAATATTGTTTAAATGGTTTCCTTTTGTCATCAAAAAACAAGGTCAGGCAGCAGACAAAGGACAGAGATCCATGTGTGTTTAAAACACTTTTTCTAAGGAAGAGATGTTTTACATTACTCTAGAATACTTCCTGAATACTTCAGAAAAACAATTAAAGCTTGAGGGTAAGTTTTGTACATAGGAGATGAGAACCATCACAAAGCGTGCCATTGCAGCAAACAGATCAATATTTAATTAATCGTGGTGTTTGAACTGTGGGCCTATTATTGAGGATTTGCAAAGTCGCCTACTGCAGTGTTTAGAACTTGACTCTTACTGTGATCTCTAACTGAGATGCAAGGCCGGATTATACAATAGGTCAGTGATTCATATAGAACTAAATTTTTTATGTTATGTACAGATATAACCTGTTTTTATTATGATGATTAATTTCTTTTTAGCTGACTGAATTTCTTTTTAACGTCCATACCTTTGTAAAAAGTTAGGAGAACATGTAGCACTAGGGATAATATCATTCTCAACCAGGAATTTATTATTTTTGTTTTGTGCTTTTCATTTTACTTCTATTCTTTGCTTTTGAATTTGTATGATGCAATGACAACTGCATTATCATAAACCTTTCATAAATGTCACATTTTTGGAAAGCTGTTACAAAAATCTGCTCTCATTATTCAAATACAGCATTAGCATCTTGTCTCTCACTAATATGCGCTACACTTGCCAAGGCAAGTGAATGAACTTGTCATTGTTGGGAGCTAATTTGTTGGAAAAAAAATGTTGCCAGGTGAAGCAGTTCACAGCTGAAGGGCGATAATTCAATCGGCTGTTAAATCAACTATCATTGCTTGACATTGTGCCTGAGTACAATTAGGTTTAGTTGGGGATGTGATGTGCTTGCAGAAAAGCTTGCAGGACACAGCCATGCTAATAAAACAGAGCCGGCACAACTGGATGGGAGCTGCAAGTGAGAGCTACACTTAGCATAGTGAATTTATAACATTTTTTGATGAGCTGAAATTACTTGGAGGATTAAAACGATGTGCTGACTTTCTTACACTCAATGTACAAACAGGTAGGTCTAAAAATATGACACTATATTGTAAATTTTGGATTCAAAATATAGTTAAATTTGTTAGTGCAGATAGCCTTGTTGCGCTTCAGGCGACCCGAGTACAAGTCCCGTCTCGAGTCTCGAGGACCTTTCCCGATATCCCACCCCATAGACATAATGAATACATAAACGCCCTTATGGCTGCTGGAGTGTACATCAACAAAGCCACCATATTCTATGGAACTCAACTGGAGTAGAAGACGCACTTATCCAGTCCATAGGAGGGGAATGGCGCAGCAAGCGGACACTTGAACTGGGCTCATGGTGAAATTGTCTTTAGGAGAAGGGAGCCCACTGAAGCAGCTGTTCAAACTAGGTGTCACCCAGCCCCCAACTGTAGAATCTGTCAGCAAAGGACTCTGCCAACGCCCAGGCGGAGCACACTCTCATTATAGAGCAGCTCAACACCTAAGAAGACATGAGCAACTCTTAATTTTTCACCGAATTAAAGGCAGCCACCATCAGTGGGCCAACTTTGCTTGGAAACAGCCTTGCCTCTCTGATGAATCTAACAGATAAGAGCTGGTCTGAGGTCTAAGGCTTACGTTCTGTACACAACTAACCGCTATGAAGCGGACAGACAGAAAAAGCCAGGGCTGGGTCTGGCTCCTCCTGGGCAGTGCTTGCAGGCTCACCACCTGATCCTATTACAGGAGAGGAAGGAACCTTTGGCACAATCCAGGCCGGGGTCTCAGCTCGTGAGAGTAGCCAGTGTGATCTCCAGACACAATTTGTTGACCAAAAGCTAGCAAGTCCCTACCCTCTAGTAAAGGTACTCACTGCCTGCGGTGGCTCAAGGACGGTCTCTGTAGTGTGGTGCAGTTGCACCAAAAGAGGATAAAGAGGGACATAAGGTTATCTTTTCCTAGCTGAACCTGATGATCAAGATGTGCCTTCCAAGCGACTGCATCATGATGTGTGCCACGACAGCGGCAACATCATTTTGAGGGTGGAGGAACAGCCTACTCCACTCAACTTGCAGGAAAGAGAGCACTGAATGATCGAAAGCCTTCAGGATCTCCTTATGGAGAGAAGACTCACTCAACAAATAGATTCCACTTATGAGCGTAAGCACACTACCTCCCTTAGGGGGTGCTCGCAGAAGTGATGGTAACTACCACATATTCCTGAGTTAGCCACCTCAACCTCAGCTTCCAGAGTAGGACGGCCCGGGAACTCCAGGGGTCAGAACACGCATGTCATCGTGCCCCGTCCCTAAAACATGTTCAGGGGAAGTCAGGATGTCTGTCGTGGGGAGCAAGGTCTGGTTGGGCCAAAAGAGGCAACTATCAAGTCCTGCTCCACTCCTGACTTGGCACAATAAGTGCAAGCGACTGGTGCACAAAAGATAGGAGCACTGCTCAACACTACATGTGAAGATCACTGAGCTTCAGGAGCATTTCAGCTTACACCAAACTGTGATGAATTTCTCTGAGAAACAGAAGCATTTCTGCTCAACATGTGAGTGTGATCACTGCATGAAAAGACTCAAATCCGGCAATATCCGGGCATGGTAAACTCCTGTGCAATTTGATGTTTGCTGGATGTATGTGGGAAAAAGCGGATCAGAGTAACACGGAACAGTATATTTCCAGACAAACCCGGAAACCTCACCTACGCGGGCATATACAGGAATCCGTGAAATTTTACGGACATATACAGCTGAAACACTGCTGGATGTGAGAGGTGTGAAGAAGACCTTTCATATGTTAATGACTGACACTAAGGGTGCTGGCTGTTCTCAGAGGGAGGAGTGGCAGGGGACTTCAGGATTGAAAATTATCTCTGGTCTACAGCAAACAAGTTTTTTTTGTACAGAAAAATAAATAAATTCTTAAGGCCCTGAAACAGAAAACCGACGTCAAAGAACTAGCAATGACTAAAGCCAACTCTAGGGTTGGCTTATGTCGCCTGTGTCAGGGCCTTAAAACTACTGTATGAAAAAAGTATCCTAATCAAATATTCTTTTATAAAAACAGAACAAAATAAACACCATGAATATACGTTCACAAAAACATCTGAATATTTAATGAAATAAAAAATACAGGGAAACATTTCAGAATATCTAAATTTTTATTGTGAAGTTTTACAAATTGCAGACAACAACATTTGTCGCCATTGGCTTTGCTTAGTTGGGGACATTTTTATTTAATATTCAACAATGTTATTGAACTGCCTGCATTGACACCATTATATGAGATCTGAACTGAGATGGACAATGACATCACGGTTTTGGCTTGGAGTTAATCCATGCTTCTTTGGGCATGCATGATGTGAAACGAGTGGTCGCAAAACCACCGGGCTTTCCCGTGTTATTGTCAGCAGCTGGTTATCCTTCCATGTTGAAAGGTCCAGCTGCATCATATTTATTCACAAAATTAAATAGATTCACTTGCAACGCGTCATACCGAGGTTTGTGGTTTGAGTAAATAAGTCCTTCCGCAAACAAACAAGCTGCAAGAAAAGGGGGCGTTTTGAGGTTTGAAATTCACCACTCACAACCATTAACACAACAAATGTGGTGACGTAATGGAGGTGCAACCAATAACGTTAGTGTATTGCTTCAAGCGCGAGAAAAATACTTTAAAATTACAGCATTCTTTCCCGAAGCAAAGAGAACAGTTCAAGGTTTGGAAACAGTTTTCTTCTATTCACCTTATTTTGCACGACAACAAGGGTGACGCCATTGCGTTCGTTTTGTCATCTTACTCCCGTCTGAGAAAGACTTCAACTTCCGGCTCATGAGAGGGATGAGATTCTGCGCTAGTTGAAACGAACGGTAAAATATGGCAAGTATTAAATGTTCAGTTAGGTGCTGCCATAACAGTTGGATTAAGAGGAGAGAACAATTGAACCAACGGTGTAACGAACATAATGTGAGGCGGTCAGATTGTTGTTGTGGTGCACTTTACGATTTAGCTACACCCACCACCTAAAGACGAGGAGCACCGGAGGCAATGGCGGAAGGCACACATTTGGAAGCATAGGCTTGAAAGTGCCCGATTCTGATGAGAAAACGCAAAAGTGGCGTTGCGTCATCTTTTTTTTATTCTGCGCTTAGACGAGCGTTTTGTGTGAGAAGTCCGCGTGCAAATGGAGACGCAAAAGTGTGTGAAATTCAATGTAGTATGCACTTCAGGCGGCTAGGAGTGCATACTACAGCAACACTAAGTCCACGCGCCTGCGTACAACTTTCACCGTCAAGCAAACTTTTGCGTTTTTACCGTTACACGGGAACGCGGAGGTGGAGCGTTTTTAAGATTTCCACTCTGGAGGGTGGTTTCACTTTTTTTGCGTTTTTGAGCCTCAAAAACGCCATCGCCGTGTAAACGAAAGGCACATCCGATAAAATATTTTTACTTTTTCACCCGCGAGCATTCTCGTGTAAACAGGGCCTAAGGACGGGAATCCGATTGAGGAACACCCCAGAAATGGCTCGGCTACGATGTTCCGATAAAGAAGTCACGCCGGGTGTTGAATATTGTCAGATTCAGGTAAGCTAACTTGCCTAACTGGTATGTGCTTGTTTGCCTAACTTTAGATTCGTGAAGTCCGTTCTATGAATGCATTTAAGATCAGTAACAAGCCGTAAACAAAATACAATGAATCTTGCATGATTACCATTGCCCACATATACATGTTATTTATTTAACTTTGTGATATTGACCTAAGAGTCTGAAAGAATAAATGAATGAATGAATATTCACGGTAGTACAAGATAGTATGGTAACTTACATTAGTCTTACAATAGCTCACATTACTGCTATTGCACATTACGAGATGTAAACAACACTGGTCCCGATGCACTTCCTGTTTCAGTTTGTAAAAGGCTTCTTAATTTCAAATGTAAAGAAAATATCTTGAATATGTTTGTTTAACTTTTTGATTCAGTTGTTCTGTTGGTTGTACTTTAACCCAACGTTTATACAGTGTTAAAACTGAAACAGGAAGTGCTTCTGGACCAGTGTTTACATCTTGTGAAATGGTCTATACAGAGATTGTTGATGCTAGCAGGCCAGCTAGCTACATCTCTCATTCAGATATTGATATTGACTTATGGCGAGTTAGGAGATTGTGTATTGTTTCGTTTTTAATTAATGTATCTTTCTCACACACTGTTCTGTGTAACTATGGGTGCCATCATCAATGAATTCTCCATGATCTATTTTAAGTAGCTACTAATGTAAAAAATGTTTATGGTTATAATATTTCCATAGATGCATCAATGAGAGTCAGTAATGCAGTGGATAACTATGAGGATGATCACATCCACATGCCCCACAGCTGTGATGCAGAATCACAATGGGAGGATCAATCTGTCTTTGGCCACAACCTGATCTTCTCAGAGAGACTCTCCAGCGTCTTGATGCTCTTTAGCGAAAGTATGAGCAGCACAGACTAACGTTACATGAAGAATCTTACAACGCTTCGAAAAGAATAAAAAAGGCACATGACGTGAACATTGCGGTAAGTCCAATTATTGTTCTATAACGTGGCTGTAAGCCATAGTTCGGTTACAATTATTGTTTTGTCTCTTGCGGTTACTGTGATGGTCAGCTTATTCCAACTGAAAATTCAGTTTTGTGGTTCTTGAAGATTGTGAATCAATTTAATTGCTTTTTAATTTCAAACTTTACAGGAATCTGTAAGGCGCCTCCATAATTCAGAGAACAACCCACACAAATACGTTCCACAAACCAGGTAAGACTGTTTCTTATATACTATAGCCTAAATGTTAGTTTAATCTACTACTCTATGGATTTGGAATGCCAAAAGTGAATTTCAGTAATGATACCTGCAACTTTCCCCCCCAGAATAAATTCATCACATAACCTGGCTGTGACCACTTACCTCTTCGAAGAATTAAGGTCAACTTTTACAGACGTTGACCCTGAATGTGTAAAAGGTAATCTTAAAGATGTTGTAATCATTTTATTGTCCTCTGTTTTACTTATTTTTATTGCCATTACATTTATTTATGATATATTTAGCAGGTTGGAAGATGTATTTTGAGACTTTGCGGAGGAAGTATTCTTTGGCTCAGCCTGAAAAGGCCCAGAAAAGAAAAACTATGACAAGCATTGCAAAGAACCTTCAAAGAAAGCGACTGGTAAGTTAAGAAACTGGTTAAGCACTTTTTTTTCTCTTCAGAATGTAACTATCCTCCTCTCTGTGTTTTAGTGGTTAAGTTACTGTCATGTTTTTCAGTTGCTGGAGACCAGGTCCGGGGTTGTACAAACCAACACAGAAAAGGAACTTTGGAAGACCGCAACAATAGAACTGATGTCTGATGAAGATGATGCTATTGTTGATGGAAGGCCAGTGTGAATGGTGAGGTCTCCACCAATCTGCTCTCTGCTAGGTACTATAAAACAGACTAGAGGCTGACCCACACTATGCGTCACACCACCAGCGTATCATGGCAGTTTGAAAAATGTTAACTCGTATAAAAAAAATATATATATATATATATATATATATATATATATATATATAACCGTTCAAAAGTTTGGGGGTCGGTAAGATATTTTTTTTTTTGGTTTGGGGGGGATAGCTCAAATTAACTCAATACTTTTATTCAGCAAGGATGCATTAAATGAATCAAACGTGACAGTAAAGACATTTATAATGTTACAAAACATCATATTTCAAATAAATGAAATATAACTTTCTATTGATCAAATAATCCTAAAAAGTCTACAACTGTTTTCAACTTTGGTAATAATAATGAATATTTATTGAGCATCAAATCATCACATTAGAATGATTTCTGAAGGATCATGTGACACTGAAGACTGGAGTAATGATGCTAAAAATTCATCTTTGATCACAAGAATAATGTATTCCAATAGAAACGTTTATTTTAAATTGTCATAATATTTAACAATATTACTCTTACTTTTTTGTATTTTTTATATATAAAAAAAGCAGCCTTGGCGAGCATATGAGACTTACCGATCCCAAACTTATAAACGGCAGTGTACACCTTGAATATTTTATATACACTTTAATTTCTTATTTATTTTTCTCGTATTATTTCATATATTTGTTCCTTTTTTTTGTTGTCCATGTTGCTTATCTCCATTTTGTTTACTTGTTTGCATTTTAATGTATGTTTATAATGCACTCTCTGTAATGTTCTATTTATTTATATTGTTTACTTGGAATATCTACGTATATTTATATATATATATATATATATATATATATATATATATATATATATATATATATATATATGAAGAGTTCAGATGCAAAAGCCTCTAAATGCCATTTGAAATTTTCTCCTTTAATGATGATTTTTATCAAACTTGTATATTTAAGTTTAGTAATTTCACTTAAATAACAATTAATAGGCAATTATCATTGCCATTTAAGAGAAATTACTGAACTTAAATATACAAGTTTGATAAAAATCATCATTAAAGGAGAAAATTTCAAATGGAACTCTTCATATATTTTATATATATATATATATATATGTAACTTTTTATATACACTGTGTACTTTATTCCTTTACATCTGTCCTTTAAAATGATTGGGTAAAAAAAAATTAACGAAAATAAAAAGTTAACAATTTATTTAATGTATGTTTATAATTTTCTTTGGAATGTCCATGATTTTTTTTTTCTTCCTTTGAGATGTTATTACTTCATACTTTTTTTCTAGTTTTTGTTCCCAATTCCTCTGTAATGCTTGTTTATAATGCTATTTGGAATGTGTTATATACCTTAATAAAAATTTCAGACTTTCCCATTGTTCTTTGTGTGTTAAATATAAATATAAATATATATAATATATATATATATATATATCAAATTTATTTTAATGAATATATTAAAATTGGGGGAGGGAGGTTTGGTATATATTTGAGCAATATCTGCATAGCTGGTATATAACCAATCAAATCAGTATGCTACAAGGCCTAGGGTGGGCTATGTTTAAAAGTAACCAATAAAGTCCGTTTACTGGGTTTTCAATGTGTCCTGCCCTCCAATAGTGGTCTGGGTGTTGGGAGTGGCTTTAAAAGAACAACCAATCCAGTTTGGTTGGAAGGCAAAAAGGTGTGAATGTTTCCTGCAAAAAGGTGTGATTTTTTCCTGCTAAAAACTTTAATGGGATTACTTGCCATGGCAACAAATGGCTCTAGCACGGAAGTATACGTCCACAACATACATCCGATTTGGTATCATTCCGGATGTATGCGGATATATACAAACCCATGGAATTTGACATATCCGGCCACTATACTCCTGGATTCTTCCGAATTTCAGCAGTGTATACAGGAGTATACTGGTCCGGATACACCTATTTTCATGCAGTGGATGAAATCATTGAACAATGAAGTTGCCAGGCGACAATGAATTGCAGACACTTTTTTAGGAGGCTCACAGTGACTGTGGAACGCATTTCTGTGGAACTCGAGGCATGGATGCCAATGCAGTCAGAGGTCGCCCAGGCCTCTGTTAAATCATGCCCTTTGTACATGGCCCCTCAGATGGTGATAGTGGACCCTGTTCTAGGTGTAGATTGGCCCAGAGAAACGAATGGTCTGATCACAGACTGAGGGTTTGGCGGCCGACTGGGTTGATCTGTTGTCACACAGGGCGTGCCGCTCTGCAGCGGTCACCTCGGGACTCGATCATGAAGCTAGTGCTGAAGTGGTCTTCATATGGATGAATCTAAGCGGCTGCATCTGCCATATGCCCCAGGAGCTTCTGAAAGTTATTTCAGTGGTACCATTTCTCACTAGTCGAACACACTTTTACATGAAGAGATGTGTTGGACCGAGTCCTTCTCCAAACTGAAAAAGCGATACTCAGCCCGTAGGTAAGAATACTCTCTTCCAGTTGACCTGAAGACCAAACTGGCTATGGAGCACTCGAAGGGTAGGACCTTGTACTGATACTTCGTACCTTTAAACTCAAGAAAACAGTTTTAACTGTGGAGCAGATTGATCGAGATCTGAATTACCCCGGAGGACCCATCACCAGTGCCAGAGCACACAGGGGAATGACTGCGGCAACACTGAACAGTGAACTGAAACAGTGAAGCACTCAATTTTCTGCACTCTAACCAGCCATTAACACATGCAAACCCTTAGAAATTTGTTGCTGTTAAAACAGCAGTTGAGAGCTCAAAGCTCGCTATCACCACTGCACTCGCGCTGTAGAACACCAGCATTGGGACAGTCTTCCTGAAGAACATTGACACACTCGCTCATTGTAAACAGAAGCACTCTTCAGAGACATTAATTTGATCAGCTCTGAAGCGAAAGCAACTAGTGTGTGCATTCACTTCTGTATTTATACCCGTGCTGCGGGGGCGGAGTGTGTGATGCGAATCACGCACGCAAATTCTATTTGGCTCGTTCAATAGTACTACTTGAAGAACATTGCCTCTCTGTCTGATGCGATCCCCATTCAGTCGACTGTCGACTACGTCCAACTTTATCGACTGAAAGGGAACTTATATATTACCATAGAGGATCCATCGGTTATCTTTGTTATTGCTAAAATCGGGTCAATCACAGAAAATGATTTTTCCGCAATAAAAAAAACTTTATTTAATATAATGAAAAAATTACATTTTATCTTCACAATTCTTAAAAAAAAATCTGGATCTCAAAATGTTTAAATCTCTTAAAATCTTAAATCTGGAAATAAAATGTTTTAGGATTTTGAAATGTGGGGGGAATTTGAAAAAAAAAGCAAATGCATTAATAAACAAACAATACAATATTATATATTTTTAACAATAAAATACATTGGAAGGAATATTAATATTCCTTGTAATATTCATATAATTTATATACATTAAAATTATATCACAGCTATCTTTTTATTTGTCTAATTTATAGCACATAATTAAACAAAAACATATTCAAACATAAATATACATGCTACTGTTACATGTGTCCTGTGTTTCCCCCGTTCTTTGTGTATTTGGTTCAGTCCTGTTTCCATTTTTCCCGCTCCTCGTTACTGTTTAGTTCATTCACCTGTTTTAGGTTAATTTGCCCCAGCTGTGCCTTGTTCCCCTAGTCTGTTCTCTGTGTATTTAAACCCTGTGTTCTCCTCACTCCTGGTCCGTTCTCGTTTATGTAAAGTGTGGTATCTGTTACTCCAGTGTTCTTGATTAAATTCCTGTTGCCCGGTTTTTCTTGTCACCTCGTGCTTCCTGGTCGCCACACACCCGTAACAGTTACGGTGTCTGACCCTGATGATTATATCCATTGCCCGTGCTATCTCTACTGAATACTAAGTGTTTTATACTGGAGTTTAGTAGGGATCGTTACACTCTGATTACATTACACCTGTTCTGTATTAACTCTGGTTCCTAAGTTATATCTGCCTCGTTAACTCGGCTTCATGTGCGAAGTATTGTCTCTCTGTGTTTCATGACCGAGGGCTCTCTAGTCTACCTGATTCTGTGTTACCGATCCGAGCCTGACTAACCTCTCTGACTGTCTGTAGCCTGCCAAATGACCGCTGCCTGTACCTGGACTCTGATTCTCGTCACCCGTCCTGAATCTTGACCGCATCCGGTTCTCCTGTTGACTGCTACCCATCCCGAATCAAGCCTGCCTCTGATCCTGAGTTCAGGTTTATTCTGCCTTGTGTTTTCCTCTTACTGAGACGCTTTATGTTTGCTTGAAGACGGCTATTAAATTGTTGTAAATGGATATGCCTCACATGTCTGATTCATCACACATGTATTAACTTTTTTATGTATGTAACCGTTATAGGCTATACATTAGACCAATGTATATATCATTCTCAGAATAGACTTTTGGTCCCCACTATACATTATATTTGTATCTATATGCATAATCAGTTCTTTTTTGTCATTTGTAAAATGTCAGCAAGCATTAGCATGACACTCCAGCTCAATCCCATTTTTTCATTTTATGTAAAGACAGTTTTTTTTTTCTTTGTGACCCACAATTATTTTACTTATTTACTTTTTTTTTTATGATTTCACAATCGAACTTGATAACCTTTTATAATGTCAAGTATATCTTCAATGTCTTACTGCTTGTTAGTGTGCACATTGGAGTTGATTGATTGTTACATGCAATCATATCACATTTGAAATGAAATATCCCATCAATTACAGTTTCAAAATGTGTAGTCGAAAGTGAAAGCCTGAATATCATTGGAGCCCACACAAATGGATGTTGTACAGGTAGGATAATTTAAATTTAAAATCAGTCAGTTTAGGAGACAAATTCAAACTGAATGAGTTTGCAAACCGGAAAAGCTATTATTATTAATTACTCCACAGACACCCCAGCCCTGAACATTAAGTTTATTGGTTATTCTTGGCTATTTTGATATTAGATATTAAGGCTTTAAATAGCTCATATCTGGGCCTCTGCTGTGTCACTTGCAAAACCTGCCCTGACTTTTCTCTACTCTCTCTGAGTGCAGAGTCTTAGTTTAGGGCAAAATAA